ATCTTTCTTCTATCATTGACAGTCCCTCTAGGTTGTGGGCTGCTTGCCTGTGTTCCTGAGAAGCATCTACGGTACCAGTCTATAGAGTGTGTTTTCTTTAGTGAATTACCGGTATGTTTACCGGTAATAAACTTGCACTGTTTTATGTATATGTTTGATTACATACAGCCTTGTGACAGTTTTCCTGCATGTCATAAGCATTTGAATATAAATTAAAATGTTAAAATCAAATCTGATATTGTTTTACCTTTTATTTGGTGTGTGGAAGGTGTGCGGAAGAGGGGGTAGTCTTATACGGCGAGTATATAACAAACTCTGTATTTTGAGTGGAAATGTTAGGGGGTCGTCTTATATGCCCAGTCGTCTTATACGCCGGCAAATACGGTAAACAGAGTAAGAACCTTACAAGTATATAGTTCTATTTTCCCTCTTCCTGCCTTAGTAAATTGTGGGCATACATATTACTTCTCCCTATGCTATAAACACAAAATGTATTGTGTTATTTTGTCTTTAAATAATATGCTTTGAAAAGATTTATAAACAAGGGGAAAGAATTTTATATAATTACTAGAGGGCTGGTGCATGAAATTCGTGTACAGGTAGAGTCCCTAGGCCTGGCCAATAATCAGGGCCAATCTGTGGGACGATCGGGGGGTGGGGGGTGGGAGGGTGAGCACTGGCATCCATCTTGGCTGGCCTGGGGCCTGCAGGCTGGGGGCAGCTCCTGCATTGAGTGTCTTCCCCCTGGTGGTCAGTGCGTGTCATAGTGAGGGGTTGTTCCACCAGTTGTTCCACCATTTGGTCGATTTGCATATTAGGCTTTTATTATATAGGTTCATTTCTGGTGATCTTGATTCTTTTTGTATATATTCAGATTGCCATCTGGTATTGTTTTTCTTTTACCTAAAAGACTCCCTGTAATATTTTTTGTAGTGTACATCTATTTGTTGATTAATTTCTTTAACTTTTGCATGCCTGGAAAAAGTATTTTCTCTTCATATTTGAAAGATATTTTTTACTGGTTATATTTCTAGGTTCACATTTTCCATTCAATACTTTAGTTTTCTCAATTTCTTTGTTTCTAATATGAAGTCTGCTACCATATTTATCTTTGTTTCTTGGTATGTAATACATCTTTTTTATCTAGCTAGTTTTAAGATTTTATCTTTTTCATTGATATTAACCAATTTGAGAGGATGTGCCTACTGTGGTTTTCTTTCTGTTGAAATGCTTGGGTCTGTGAATTTATAGGTGTTTTGTTTTTTTAAATCAAACTTGGAAAAAATTTAGGCCATTATTTCTTCAAATATCTCCCCATTTTCCTCTCCTTTGGAAATTCCAATTACATATATGGTAGTAGGCCACTTGAAACTATGTTAATCTCACTGAAGTTCTGTTCTTTTTTTAAATTATTTTTATTTATTTCAGAGAGAAAGGGAGAGGGCAAGAGTGAGAGAAACATCAATGATAAGAATCATTGATTGGCTGCCTTCTGAATGCCCTCCACTGGGGATTGAGCCAGCAACCCAGGCATATGACCTTGGTCAGAATCGAACCTGGGACCCTATCCATTGAGCCAAACCAGCTAGGGCAGTTCTGTTCTTTTTTATTTGTCTTTTTCTTCTCTGTTTTATTTTGGATACTTTCTATTGCTATATCTTCAAATTCACCAATCTTTTTTTTCTGTAGTGTCTAATTTGCTATTAATTTCATCTAGAGCAGCGGTTCTCAACCTGTGGGTCACAACCCCTTTGGCGGTCGAACGACCCTTTCACAGGGGTCGCCTAAGACCGATCCTGCATATCAGATATTTACATTATGATTCATAAAAGTAGCAACATTACAGTTGTGAAGTAGCAACGAAAATAATTTTATGGTCGGGTCACAACATGAGGAACTGTATTTAAAGGGCCAGAAGGTTGAGAAACACTGATCTGGAGTATTTTTGATTTCTGGCACTGGATTTTTCATCTCTAATTTGGGGATAGGTTTTCCTCATTACTGAGACAATACTCTTCTCAGTACTCTATTTGATGCCCTGTATATTATGAGTTTTGTCTACTCTGACTTGAAATACAAATGACTCCTGGCCCCACATCATCTCTGAGGATTGTACTGTCCATTAATTTCCACTGTTTTTTCTCCCAGCCTTGAGTCATTTCCTCACTTGCATGTGCTTATATGTACTCAGATGAAGACACAGTGGGGCTCTCTGCAGATGTCCAGAGCCCTTTCTTTGTATTCAGCCCTCTATTAATCATGCAGGTCTCTCTTGAGAATTCTAGCCAACTTGACCTCTCTGGATTTTGGACTCTATACCCTCAATTCAAAAAGAATGACAGGCCCTGGCCAGTGTTTCTCAGTGGTTAGAGTGAGGGCCCGGACCCTGATCAGAGGCAACCAACTGATGTGTTTCTTTCACATCAATGTTTTTCTCTCTGTCTTAACCTCTCTCTTCCACTCTCTCTAAAAACTCAATGGAAAAATATCCTCAGGTGAAGAATAACAACAAAAAAACAAAGAAAGAAAAAGAATGAGATCTGTTTTGGTCCCCTTCAAACAATCTCCAAGAAGTAAGCTAAATTAATTGTAGGGCTCTAGCAATCTCCAAGAAATAAGCTAAACTGATTGTGGGGCTCACTTTGTTTTTTTCCATTCATTCTGGAATCATTGTCCTGTGCAATTAACCACTGTCTGAAAAACATTGTTTTAGATGTTTTATCCGTTTATTTGTTGTTGTAAATCTGACCCTGAGCTTGGAGCCACATGAATAGGAGGCCCCAGAGAGTTCTCTTGCCCCTTCTACCATGTGAGGACACAGTGGAAATATGGCTGTCTATGAACCAGAAGACAGGCTCTCACTAGACAGCAAATCCCTGCTGCATTGATCTTGGATATCCCAGTCTCCACACCATGATAATAAATTTGTGTTTTATAAGCCACCAGTCAATGGTATTCCATTATAGCAGCCTGAATGAACTAAGATAGGAATTATTTCTCAGAGGGCCTGAGATGGCATAGCAGGGTAGAATAGGATATTTTGACCTCAATGTTAAAAACCAGGAAAGTTTTACTTTTGGTGAGATTCGAAGGAAGTATGGGGTCTTGGTTAGGGGCAAAGGATGCCACAGCAAAGCCAGAAAACAGACTCTATGCCAGGAACAGGTGAAGTTAAAACTGAAGACCCTACTCCAGTATATGCTGTCTTCTAAGAGACCTTTCAGCTTTCTAAATGCATGTCACCAGGAATCTTATATAAACAAATGATACTTAATATTTAAAAAATCAATAGTATTGCTACTTACAATGGTCCTGTCTCCATGGAGACATTGACATGTGCTTTGATTTTCAAATCCTTCTGAATTTTAGGATCGCAGGCTTGCCTGAAATCTCCCAGGTAGATGCTTCCTGGCACTATTTCAACAGGGTATGCCTGAAATTCATCCAATTCCTGGGGTGGGGAAGGAGAGAGGTTGCTATAAATATTCCCCAGCGAAGTTGTTTTCATTTGGGGTTGGGGGTATTGGTCTCTTAAAATGTGGCTCAGCAAACATGCTTAGAAAGATCATCCAGGACAGTGAATGAAATTGAGATCTGGGCATTCAAAGAAATTGGCAAGTAACAACTTGCATGAGGAGGTACAGGGCTGGTAGTAACATAGGACTGGGCTATAGCATAGCATCATGCTAAAGCATGCTGAATCTGAACATCAGCATCCTTCTTCCTTCCTTGGCACATGTTTGCATTTGGCCATGGAGTCTAATACCCTGCGGACAACAACTGCATAAAAAAATCAGCCCTTTTTAAAAAATACGTTTTTATTTATTTCAAGAGAAGAAGAGAGAGAGTGATAGAAACATCAATGATGAAATCATCGATTGGCTACCTCCTGCACACCCCCTACTGGGATCAAGCATGCAACCCAGGCATGTGCCCTGACCAGGAATCCAACTGTGACTTCCTAGTTCATGGGTAGATGCACAGCCACTGAACCACACCAGCTTAGAAAGAACAGCCCTTTTATTATACTCAGAGTCCATCAGAACTTAAATACTTAAAAAAAAAAAAAACACCTCACAAGAGCCTATTTGTCATTAGGAAATGAATTCTGATGAAGTTCTAATGAGTTTTGACAGAGAGGTAGGAAGAATAGGCTACCACTTAAATGGAAGCTTACTGAATTCCAGGTCCAAAGTTATAATAAGAAAAATTTTGGTTTCTTTGAAGAACAAAGAAACAAAGAGAAGGATTATTTCTACATTTCCCAAAGTGTAAGAAGCACTGGTCCCTCACAATGCACCGTGAAAAAAAGGCTTCAGAGAACCAAGTACATATGGGAAGCATATTCCTCTTTCAGAAACTCACCATATACATTAGCAATGAAAGGCTCAAAGAAGTCTGGCAGTAAAGAAATCCACTAACTCCAGCCACTATGGGAAATAGTATGGAGGTTCCTAAAAAATTATAATGGAACTACCCTATGATCCACTAATCCCACTTCTGAGTATATATTCAAAGGAAACAAAATCACTACCTCAACGAGATATCTGCACCCTGATGCTCACTGGAGCATCCTATCTAATAAAAGAGTAATATGCAAATTGACCATCACTCCAAAACATAAGATGGCTGCCCCCATGTCATCAAAGATGGCCACCACAAGATGGCCAGTAGGGAGGGCAGTTGTGGGTGATCAGGCCAGCAGGGGAGGGCAGTTAGGGGTGACCAGGCTAGCAGAGAAGGGCAGTTGTGGGCAATCAGGCCAGCAGAGGAGGACAGTTGTGGGCAATTGGGCCGGCAGAGGAGGGCAGTTGGGGGCTATTGGGCCATCAGGGGAGCAGTTAGGCATCGATCAGGCTGGCAGGGGTGTGGTTAAGGGTGATCAGGCTGACAGGCAGAAGTGGTAAGGGGCAATCAAGCAGGCAGGCGGGCAAGTGGGTGAGAGCCAGCAGTCCCGGATTGTGAGAGGGATGTCCGACTGCTCGTATAGGCCCAATCCCATAGGCAGTCAAACATCTCTCAAGGGGGTCCCAGACTGGAGAGGGTGCAGGCTGGGCTGAGGGACACACCCCTCCCCCCCCTCAGTACATGAATTTCATGCACCAGGCCTCTAGTATAAAAAATAAAATGCCATAGAGTTGAATATGTCAGTATTCTCCTTTGGATATTCTGATTTCTTTTTCCTATCCTAAAATCATATAAATTACCTTTAATTTTTTCATCAGTTCTAGTTGTTTTATTTTTACATTAAAATTTTTAATACATCTGAAAACACTTTCAATTGCTATACAGTATGATCATAATTTTGTAATATTAGTGGAAATAAAGT